CGGTCGATTGTCGAAATGGGCAATTGAACTCAGCGAACACGACGTCACGTACCAAGGCAAGCCAGCCGAAAAATCGCAAGTTCTAGCCGATTTCATCATCGAGCTTCCCCCAGAACTCGAGCAGGATCTTGTCTCGCCAACAGGCATTTGGATACTACATGTCGACGGCTCATCCTCGACGAAAGGATCCGGAATCGGCATCCAGCTGCAATCGCCAACGGGCGAATTGATTCGCCAATCATTTCGACTAGATTTCAAAGCATCCAACAATGAAGCAGAGTATGAATCTCTCATTGCCGGCCTACGCCTCGCCGAAGCTGTTGGTGCCAAACGAGTCCATGCATACTGCGATTCTCAGTTAGTCGCTAATCAGTTCAACGGAGACTACGACGCAAAGAACGACCGAATGGATGCGTATCTCCGCATAGTTCAGGACCTCGCCCAAGGATTCGACTCTTTTGAACTAACAAAAATTCCTCGCGGGGAGAACGTTTGCGCGGACGCCTTAGCCGCACTTGGAAGTAACCCCCGCGAACAGGTAAGCCGGACGATACCCATTCCGCATATCGACCGACCGAGCATTTCGCCTCCCTCGGAGGAAGGCACAATCGTATCGTCGATCGTCAACACAGGCAATATGGAAATCGACGAATCAACTGACGACACGAACGCGCAGCCCCCTGATTGGAGGATCCCTTTCCTCGACTATTTAATTAGAGGAACGCTACCGACAGAAAAATGGGAAGCACGCCGACTGAAGGCTAAATGCTCGAACTACGTCGTAATGGAAGGAAAACTTTATCGCAGAACAGCCAATAACGTCCTCCTCACATGTATCCATGGCGACGAAACTCGCCTGGTCATGGCCGAAACCCACGATGGAGCAGGTGGAAATCACTCTAGCGGACGCGGACTAGTCCTCAAGATTAAAGGTCTGGGACACTTCTGGCCGACCATGGTCTCTGACTGCGAAGCTTACGCTCGAAAGTGCGATCAATGTCAATGACATGCTTCGAACATCCATTCGCCCACCGAGCTGTTGCGAACGACAACAGCGCCGTACCCATTTATGCGATGGGGAATGGATATCGTTGGTCCCTTACCCAACTCCAGGCAACGTAGATTCGTCCTCGTAATGACGGATTATTTCACCAAGTGGGTAGAGGCCGAAGCTTTCGTCCACGTAACCGATAAAGAAGTTCAACTCTTCGTATGGAAGAACATCATATGCCGACACGGTCTCCCGTACGAAATAATCACCGACAACGGCTCCCAGTTCATTTCGCACAACTTTCGCAGCTTCTGCGATAGATGGGCAATCCGTCTTAACACATCGACCCCCCGTTATCCACAGGGTAATGGACAAGCCAAAGCAACAAATAAGACGATCATTGACGGAATCAAGAAACGCCTCGATCTCAAGAAAGGACATTGGGCAGACGAACTCGATGGAGTCCTTTGGTCACACCGAACGACTCCACGTAGTGCGACGGGTCAAACACCCTTCTCCTTAGCTTACGGAGTTGAAGCAATGGCCCCAGCGGAAGTCAATGTCACCAGTTTACGCCGAGCAAAGATGCCTCAAAACGTCG